CTATTGTTATTGTTTACAAGAGGCCAGCCAGGACGCTACCCATTTAAAGTGTAGTAATGGATAAAAAGAAACAATTTTCTGCTGTACGTGATTAGTGTTTATCATTTACTGCTGTAAACAAACTAGCACCAAATTTGAACGGCTATAAAATTACGCTCAGGACGAAATTGTTTTTTGTTTTTTGTTTTCAAATTTAAAGATATGATCCTATACTTTATTTCACAAAAATAACATTTCATTAACAATTATATGGATTTACATCTATGAAGGTTGAATTTAGATGTACACAACCTTCGTGTGGTATTTTGTTGTTATTCTAATTAATTATCTCTAAATGTTACGTCAGACTTTACCTTACTATAGTTACGCTTCGTCCTGTGGTCTCTTCTCGTGTCTGGTTGTTTTTTTTGTGGACAAATATAGTTGGTACTGACCCGTATAACAACAAATCAGCCTGAAATTCCGTTCAAAACAACTAGGCGTGAAATGGTCCTGGCAAACGACTTTGTTTTTTCCCGAAACCGTACCGATGTTATGCAGCCACCTTGTAGCAAGACTTTGGATTTCAACAGATTTAGCTGGAATGTGAATGTAAAAAACAACTCTTCCATGAAATGTTACCTATCTTAGTACTACATCTATAAGCATGACATTCAGCCATGGCTACGGCGAGTGTCATCTACAGCTACGCTGAACGCTAGATTGTAACGCCATTTTCGGTATACTGTGGAAATATTACAGGGGGGTGTCGCTTTTTAACTGCTAAGTGAAATTGTCAGAAAATAATGCAATTCGCCGTACAGTTTTCCTTCTGCAAATTCATAGTTTGTGGGTGACCTTCCCCTTTGAGATATCTGCGTGAAAACGCAGATGTGTCCGTATTTACTTCCTATGATATCATTTGTTGTGAAACGGACATTACTAATCTTGTTGGGACTTCCGACTATGACCTTTTGGTATTTGCGGGAAAGTTCACTAGTTTAGCTCTATGACACATTCGACTTTGCCGAATATTTATTTCGTCTTTATTTGTAAATTATTCCTTCTGCAAACTCAAAATTTGTGGCTGACCTTCCTCTTTAATATGTATCATTTTTCGACGTCTTATCAGTGTCCCGCCCTCGATAAATACTACAAGGTCATGTAAAGGACATGCCGATAAAAATATATTAAGTTATATGCTTAATACAAAGAATTGTATTTCCCAAGGTGCAATTTGGAGGTGATTAAATATTAAGTTATCGTTAAGTGTTGAATAGCCCCATCCATCTGGACAATTTGTGTAAACATTAAATATTAGAACCTAATCGGGTAAAAATCAAGCAGTTTATGGAGGGTCTATTTTTTCAGTTTCTTCTAAAAACTCTTGGATTTTTTACTTTTCTTAGATCACGTATACTATTGAATATGGGTTCGGCAAACATTTATAACATAGGTAAATAGTGGGTATGTTTACATAATTCAGAACGTAAAAGCTCTGTACATACACATGCATATCCAAATGTTATTCTGAACGTCTTGTTGTAGATTACAAAAGGAGTTAGTATGACGACCTGTTGTGTGTTTATTCCTAAGTGGATTATCATTAGCGTGGCTGCTTCAGAAACTGTAGACATCACCTCTCAGATAGTACTGTAAGATATGTGACTCGACCAAATTTGGCGAATCGTCAAATCGCAGCCTATAAACGTGCCCGGAACTGGTCGATTTCATCCAAACTGTGTATCATGGTCACGCATGTTGGATTACAGATCTACGTCAATGTTTTTTTTTTATTCGAACAAAAATGGCCGACTGACAGAATGTTTTTATTCATGTCTGTGGGTGAGAATAAAAATAAACAGCCAACCAACTACGCATATTACATCATAGAACTTGCCATCTTGAGAGATAAAGTTTGAAAGGACGAGTAGTGACCCTTAATGATTGGGTGGTAATGTTCAAGTTGAATTTCGGACATCATAAACTAGTCATGATTGGAAAATAAACCTACTCAAAACCTATGCATCAACTGGCATGATTGTACGACTAAAACGTATATCATGTGTAGTCATGATCAGCTGAGGTATTCATTAAAACAATTTTACAGGGCACTTTTCTCACAATACTACGATTACCCCGATTACTCCGTGTACTGTCAGAAAACAGTGGTACCGATGACGAAATAGGCCGTTATCCGGGCATATGATGGCGGCTACTATTCGTATTAAAATTTAAAGAAACACTATATTTAACGACTTAAACATATTTCCAATTTTATATCTGATTACTAGCGATCAAATACTTATATACATTGCAACAGAATCTTTGAGCCACACAAAATGTACTTTTATAGCGAAATGTTTACTACAATAAAGTATGTAACACGTTTCATTGTTGACGGGAGACATGAAATGTATTCCGTATACCCATAAAATCGTTTTAACAATATTCATTATAACGAAGTTACAGCGTATCCAGTTGCAAAAAATATGCTCGAGAATAATGTAGAATTACAAGTATCGTTTAGTCATATATACACATTTTAATAATAATGAAATAATGATGCTTTATATAAATCAACGATGGAACAAATATATGCAGGATATTCGATTTCAGTGTCTGTAAACAAACATAAGTATAATTATAGTGTAATCACATACAAATAGTTTTGATATTCGGTCGTAATTCTATTGCACGGAAATATTTCTGAGATAACGGTTAGGCAATGCAAAGCAATATATTAATCACGCATTGTATATTTTACTTTCTTGAGTTGAATTTGTTGTTTATTGTAAAAATATTGAAGGAATATTGCCAACGACACAGAAGCATAAGGTTGGTAGAGATTTTATTTATTAATAAAACTTACCTAACTTAAATACTTACCAAATACAATCGTTAATCGCAATACAATAGAAGATTTGGTGATCCAACACCCGGGTCGCCTACAACACCGCTCGTACCCTCACTAATTATCTTGTTTTTGCATGCAGCATTAGTTGCACAAGTACCAGCTCCCAAATGAACAGCTGCGACACCTTTAAATGGGAAAATACACTGTTAAATAAAGCAGCTTAGTACTATACAGTCACCTGCATATTTGCACATAGCATACCTTGTTAAAGTAATACTACAGTGCAGTGAATATCTTCAAATGATTTATCGTAGTTGCACATAACAAATGCACGTAAATACGTACATGTACTTGTCGTCATTAGCATAACTTACCAGTTACGTGAGGGCATGCCATCGAAGTTCCACTGAGAACAGCATATGAACCGTCATGGAGATGGTAGGAACTTCTAATATCACTTCCAGGTGCAAAGATATCCACACAAGTACCATAGTTGGAATATGATGCCCGCCCATCGTCACTATCAGTGGCACCAACTGTCAGCGCCTTTATGTCAGAATAGAATGTGAAATACAAACCGTATAGTCTACATACATCTTTTACTGTCCTACTGCACTACTGTCCGCCATTTTGTCGTCCTTGTTCATAGTTGGTTACTATAAAACTACTACTACGATAATCCTCCATATATATATGTATGTATATATATTTTATATAATACCAAATGTTTTCAGGTAAACGCTTGCAGCAACGTGAAATTCTGGAAATGAGTAGTCATTTTGTACAGATTGGGGTGAATATCATTCATTGACGGTGCACGTCATGTACGTGCTTGTTAGTAAGATGGGTGCCATGACGACTGAAATATAATATTCAAGTGAAACGTGTATTCAATGATTGGCAATAAATTTATATGTATTACGTCAATACGTACGGCTTCAACTCTTGCAGGAGAAGTGTTGCATGCGTTGGCATCGTCATTACCGGCAGCTATGGAGACAGTGTATCCTGCATCGATCATTCTCTGCACAGCACTATCCATGGCAGTACTTGCACCCCCGCCAAGAGACAGCGAGGCCACACCAGGTTTCGAACCGCCGTCGGTAATGGCATCACAACCTACAGAATAAAACACCGGTCGCCATTATGTTTTGCCGCGAATGCCAGAAATTTGTGAAATATGTTGAGTTTATATATTGTTATAACACGTGGCGTATTTTTTCACTGATAATTGTACCACAACATACCTTTTACGATATTTGTTGTCGATCCAGCTCCCATGCAATTCAAAACACGAACGCTATAAAGACTAGCCGATGTGGCGATACCAACCGTAATCCCAGCAGATGTACCTCCACAGTGAGTACCGTGTCCATTGCAATCTTCACCCTGTTGATAAAAATAGTGTGTCACGCCTTTAAATGCACGATTGTAGTTTTATTTCATGCAAACCGGTCTAAGGTATCTGACATTCTCAACTTGGGCTAGTTGACTCTCCTGATTTATTCCTACATGCGCAACATATATAAATTAGGTTGTTCAGGAGTGCCTGAAAGTTGAGTTTGTGCTGTTTTCGCGGCTGCTTTCAGAAGAAGAACAGTGCAACCTTCGGGTATTTTAAGGATCTACAGAGAAGCATCAGACAAATTAGCTACTGTACTGTAGCCCATAGTGAAATTGTAAGTTGTGTCAACTTTTGTCTGAAATTATGTCGATTGAGACAATTTTTATATATATCGACGACGCCGCTAACAGGAAACTATCTAATAAACCTCGCAACACCGAAATACGGGTTTCAATTTGTGTCACCACTCGATGTATCTATAATCGGCAGGGCCCATTTCATTTATCCGCGGTTACAAATAGCATATTTCTGAAACCTACCCTGTTCGAATATTCAAAATCCCAGAAGAAATGTGCGCGACCCTGGTACTCCTGATGGCTATGACGCAGGCCAGTGTCGACGATGTAGATATTGGCCCCATTTCCATCACCTAAACACAACACATATAACATTCATGATAGAAAGGCATTCAACTATTACATCGTATAAATCTGAACCATAGCGCATGTATTTCTAATTAAAATTTGTTAAACAATAACAGGTTATAAGATACTGAAGTGCAATTATGACTCACCATACAAATTCATTTGGTCGTCAAGTGGGAGGTTCCTTTGGTCAATACGATCGCATCCCCACTCTACTGAAGCATGATAGAGACCATCCTCTTCGATATATTCTACTTCAGACATGCTTCGAAGCTTAAGTAAAATGAAAATAATTCATTATTGGTTTGTCAGATTGTACGGCGACTTTTATTACACAGAAACTAAAATGTTTTCGTTTAAATTACATTTGAACATTTGTAGCAACTCATTAATACATGTATATACACTTACACGATTAATAGCCTTAGCTTGGGCGTTGATAGCGATACCGTGGAATGCCGCTTTGTAGCGTTTAGTCATTGAAATTCCCAAAGATGGAAGGCTCTTCACAACCCTGTCAATATTGTTGTCATCCTATAAAATAGAAACGCTTATAAATTTATATTCTGTTATGGATTTTTAATGTGAAATTTGCATTTTGACACAAACTAGAACAGATGAAAAATCCACAATATTGGCATGCACCTACCTTGATCTTTACAAGATAGCTATTTTAAATTGGACTACTGGCTTTGAAAATGGGTGCCAGAGAAGCAGCACTAGCGGCAGCAACAAAGAGAGTAAAGATGAAGACACGCATAGTGAAATCTGGAATACAAAACGGGAGATTCATAATTATCGACATAATTGTAACCATAATTGCAGAACGGTCAAACAAGTTTCTGTTGAAAAATGTAGACGTACTTACTTGTTCAAATAGTTAAATTCGAATGACTGCTGCATGAGACCAACATGCTTTTATGCGATTCCAGTTGCGGATTTCCTGCAAAACATTAACTCTCATATCTTTTGGAGATTAGTGCTAATCTGAAATAATGATGCCAACTACACCGTTTCTGTTTATCTATAATGGGAATATATCATAAGTTCTAACCTGTACAGATACTCATTTATGATGACTACTGTTAGAATAATGAAACTGTCCATGGATAGTGTTTGTATTCCCACACCCACAATGTTTTTAGTTCGTGTTATAAAAAATTAGAATTTGACGTTCGGTATAGTGTGGAAATAACATACTTAACATACATATTCGGCAAAGTCGAATGTGTCATAGAACTAAACTAGTGAACTTTACGGCGAATACCATAAGGTCATAGTCGGAAGTCCCAACAAGATTAGTAATGTCCGTTTCACAACAGACGATAGCATAGGAAGTAAATACAAACACATCTGCGTTTTCACTTAGATATCTCAGAAGGGAAGGTCACCCACAAATTGTTTGCAGGAAAACTTTATTGAATAATGGCGAATCGAATTATTTTTTGATCGATTTTTTGATATTCTAATTTGTTAGTATCAGTGAACAAACTGTATTTTTAATTTAAAACCCGTTGGCGTTTTCCCCAACAACCGCTTGAATACGAAATTAGTGTTAATATGAGTTATGAGTGACAACCCAGATAGTCTTTTGAATTCGTGAAACTGAACTTAAGATGTGGACAATAGGCAGCTTCACTTATACCATACCAATATTGGCGTGTTCAGTCACACAGCACACATTTTCTGCTCATGAATTGGAATCCATAAAGTGGCTCGTATTCGATAAAAACTAACAATTATAAAACTTGATACAACGCAATTATAGTTGCTTTGCAGCGTCTCCTGAACGAGGTAGCTAGGTTGTGTCGTCATTTCCAATACACTGTGGAAATAATACAGGGGTGCCACTTTTTAACCGCTAAGTTTAATTGTCAATTTAATAAAGTTTTCCTTCTGCAAACTCATAATTTGTTCGTGACCTTCCCCTTTAAGATGTCTACGTGAAAACGCAAATGTATTTGTATTTACTTTCTATGATATCATTTGTTGTGGAACGGACATCACTAATCTTGTTGCGACTTCCTACTATGACCTTATGGTATTCGCGGAAAAGTTCACTAGTTCACATTCGAATTTTCCGAATATGCAATTCGTCTTTATTTTTTAAATTATTCCTTCAGGAAACTCAAAATTTGTGGTTGACCTTCCCCTATAATATGTATCTTTTTCTACGTCTACGTCGAAGACTGGCAGAAAATAATTGTAATTGTCAAGATGCAATTTGCAGGTGATTAAATATTTTAAATTGCAACTTCAAACGTACATTATAAATCTTTCACGAAGGACAATATACACGAGTTAAGCTATCATTAAGTGTTGAATATCCCCATCCATCGAAATTGCATCGAACTTATCGCGACAAAAAAATATTAGGAGCTAATCGCGTGAAAACCAAGCAGTTTGTGGAGTCTATATTTTTCAGTTTCTTCTAAAATTCTAAAATTCTTATTTTTTTTTTATTTTTTTAGATCATGTGGGTTCTGCAACCCTTTTTTACATAGGTTAATAGTGCGTATGTGTACATAATTCAGATTGTCTGAATATTGTTGTGTGTTAATTCTTAAGTGGTCTATAATAAGTGTGACTGTGCCAGAAAAAGTAGACATCACTTCACAAATAGTACTGTAAGTGAGTGTGATTCGATCGAATTTGATAAATTGACGACCATTTTGTCTAAAGTCGTTAAATTGCAGTCTGTAAATGTTTCTGGAACTGTTTATCGGAGATGGACAGGTCGATTTTATTCAAAATTTGTATCATGATCATGCATATTTGTTTATAAGATTAGAACGAAATAGCCGACTGTCAGCCATTTTGTTTTTACTTATATCTGTGCCGATTCTTCTTTATACTAATGCGAGTTTCCCAGTATATTGTATTCACCTGTTCACAGAAGATTAAATATTTAACTGCCTACTATCTGTCTCGGACATTTACGAATTGTAATGTGTGATTTAGATTGCACATCCTACTGGCCGCGTGTATACAACTTTACAAAGAAGTTCGCTGCATAATTAGTTACTTCAACAAGATACAAGTTAATCCAGTGCTAATCTACATTCAGGGCATCATTTCAGGATTAAAATGTCCACATGACTTTACATTAAAAACATACATGTTTTATACAACCTTGGTATTGGGTGTCATATAAATTGCAGTTCTAGTTTGTTGAATGCCTAATACACTTTATTTATGCAATGGGGAAAAATCACTAAACATGTCTATTACAGTCTATGCATCACCATTTAGAGCTCTATTGTTAAACACATGATATATTAAAGGAAAAATCAAGCCAAACAACATAATGAACCCTCAAAAAAAAAGCTCCACAAATTTACAGTTTTTTTTTTATTTCACTTTTCATTCTCTAGATGTTCAACTTTTCATCAGTATTATGTAGTCTCAAGTAAAGATTTATGTGGGTAAAGTATGACATCATAGAATTTGTTGTCATAAATTGAGAAAATGATGGCGGACTAGATAAAGTGATGAAAAGTTGAATATCTAGAAAATGAAAAGTGATATAAAAAACTATAAATTCTATGTTCTTACATTTGCCGAGCTCTTTTATCTGGGAGTAATATGTTGTTAGCCTAGACTTTTCCTTTAAGAGATAAAATGTGCACTGTCAAATTTTTTATTTCGTGGTTTAATGGGGAATAATTCGAATATGTTTGCAGTTGGTGGGTGAGAGTTCATGAGCAAACTCCGGTTATTAAAACCATCTTATTGGTATTGAGTAATCCATATGTACGATATTATTTGTGTATATGTCATAGTTGTCACCCACCAGTGAATACGCACTGGAGTACACGTGGCACATGCTATATTCCAATTTTAGTCACGGTATACTGTTTTTCTGACAGCATGCAAGAAGCTTTCCGTAATCATCTTTTTATTATTATAGATACTAACTCTCCATAAACCATGATAATTGCCGGTAAATCCTATTAAATGTTGAAGCAAGTCGGTCACCAAACGATGTATTCTCTTGTACATTGTGTTGTTCTTCTTGAATATTATATTCTATAGAACTAACTTACCCTGAGTAGTGTGTTTATTATAAACTTTATATCACTTAGAATGGCAAACTCGTTAATCATGAAACTTTCAAACTACATGCATGTTTGTTGTCATTGTGAAAAGCAAACACATCGTATACATAACATACTACAGACCAAGAAGTATTTAATATCAACTTATTTTAGAAACTCACTATTTTGGAGCACGAGTCTATCACACATATTATGCAATAATACAATTACACAGAGATTAATTTCAGATAGTTATATATTTATTTTGTAATATGTAATAAATAATCAATATTCAAATTGTAAACAAAGTGAAAACTCGTGAATGAAGAACATCTTGATGACGTGGTCTGTTCTGCAAGAACAAAGAATGTATTTAAATTAGCATGGTTGTACATAACAGAGCAAGCGGAAAACAGTGTGAATTGTAAACAAGCCAGCTGCAAATATATATTCCCAGCGCAAATCGTTAAAACTATTTAAAAAACTAAGCTCGCTTTTTGACTGTTATGATGTGACGATGAAATGTACGATAATAATACTTACACACTGTACAGCGCAAGTAGCCAATCAACGGCAGCATTGCAGATTTGTTTTTGTTTGCATTAATGTGAGAAATGACAGCTGCAAACTTAAAAGCAGCTTGTATTGTTGAGGGAATGGAGTTATTTCAAGTGCCGAATCGTAATGTAAGTGTGGCCCTGGCTTCCGAGTTGTCAGAGGTGGTGGAAATTAGTAAATGATTTGTTGACATGAATATTAGTTTGACATTGCTTCACACTACAAATAAATTTAAAGCAGCCATTGTGCGAGCAGCTAACACCACGGGACATCGAGAAGTTGTTTCTGGCTTTGCCCCAAAAACACACCTATGTCCCGTAATGTTTTCTACACTCGTTCGACTAAGTGCGAAGAGGTAAATAATGTACGTACTAATAAATTCAAAAAAATAAATGTTCTTGCTCTAATCACAATACAGTAGAAGATTTGGAGATCCTACTCCTGGGTCGCCAACAACATCCTTTGTAGCATCAGAGACTATTTTATCCACGCAACTAGCATTATCGCTGCAAGTACTGGCACCTAAATGTACAGCAACAACACCTACAAAACAGTCACAGACATGAGCGTTAAATATACTTCACTAAGAAAAATTCAACGAAAGTTAGTATGGTGGGAAACGCATGTTGTAGTTTCAGGAACATGTACTAATTACAAATATTTCTACGTGTTCCTCAGAGTTCAAAGTGCCATAGTCGTCGGGCTGCCCATATTCGTTAATGGGCCCATCACAAGAGCAAATGACCCAGAATGCATAGCAGTAATATCAAACTTAAATGGTCGCTAAAGCCAACGGAAAAGATCAAAATTTTTTTGTTGGCATCAAACATTTTTATAGGTGCATATATATGGTTTGGCATCTTAACGTTGCAGTGTTGCATTATTTCCACTCAAATTCTCAAATTAGAGCTCAAATCTACTTATTCGCTGCCTCACATCTCGTTACTTCGCCATTTTTAAATGCAATATAGGTAAAAATTGTCAATTAACAGCAAATCTTAACGACTGTGGCGCTTTAGGTAATATTGACACTAATTTACCGGTAACGTGTGGGCAGGCCATTGATGTTCCACTCAATGTTGCGTAGGCGTCATCGCTTGTATGATAGGAGCTTCTTACAAGGCTGCCAGGAGCAAAGACATCGAGGCAAGTGCCATAGCAAGAATATGATGCACGTTTATCAGAGCTCTCGGTGGCACCAACTGTTAACGCCTATATAAGAGAGATTGTTTTAATAAAATACATGAATACATTTTGTAAAGTGTGAGGACCCACATAAAATAAGGTAATATATATAAAAAAAATACAAGCACACACTCACATCTGGTACTCTAGCTGGGGAAAGCTCACAAGCATCTGAATTTGAATTACCGGCAGCTATTGATACAGTGTATCCAGCATCCATCATTCTCTCTACAGCTTCATCCATAGCAGGACTTGCGCCTCCACCAAGTGACATTGAAGCAACACCCGGCTGAAACCCTCCATTTGTAACGGCATCACATCCTACAAAAAAATCATTTATACATGAATACAAACATACCCATTTTTCAAATACGTTATATAGAATTGAAACTTTGAAACGTCTCAGT